AAAAAAAAAGGAGGTTGGTATTCTCAGAGGTCGTAGCCGATGTCAAAAATAAAGTCAGTTATAATTTCAGACTGAAAATCTAGATATTATTTTGAAGTAATGACAACTGATGAGTGTTGTAGGTAAAGCACCGAGACTTGTCAATTTTCTCCGCCTTTCTTAGCGAATGAAATAGTAAATTGGTTTTAATTTAACTGAATAGAGAAATTCGAAAAGGCCTCACTTCATATTATCGAATGCAGTGGGAGCAAAGCGCCCGAGTTGAGCCTGACTTTGTAACGACTGCTACGAATTGATGTGATAATATGAACAAATAAATGAAATTATAGATGGCTGAGCTTGCATCCAAAGTATCGGACCGTCTTCTGTCAGACCATCGATCAGCTGTTCTATGGAAGAGGCCCGTTGGCTATATGTGAAAGACACTATATCGCGCTAATGGTCAGTTGCTGACTGAATTTAGAATGTCCTGAAATAAACGAAAAAGGCTGAGGACTTTCTTTTGGATACTCTTGTTACAGGGGAGAGGCGAAAGAGGAGTGGGAGTAGGGGAAAGGAGAAAGGAGGAGGAGGGGGAAGTGGAAGGAGGAGGTAATGAAAGTACAACCTGAAAAACCTCTGGTAAAATGGGTGTTCGGTAAAACATATTGGGTAAAAATAAAAAATATTCAGGCTGCGAGTAGACATCGGTGTCATTTTCTGATGGATTTGCATACGCGTGAGTTCGAGCGTACTGGTGGAAAACGGGAATGGTTGAAGGGTTTGGTGAATGCTCCAAAAAAAATCCAGAATCTCGATGCACTGAGCACTGTTCTTGCTCATCAGCCATGGTCAACCACCGTTGATCATTTGACGGTACGTTTGTCTACAATTTTAGCCTTTTCATTTAACAAATTAAATAATATCTACAAATACATTCAGTAAGTATACACTTGACACCAGAGAATGGAAATTATCAATTACCCCTTAATCAGTCACAGTAGGACCAAAACCACTGGGCCAGCCAGTCCAGGAGTTTCAGTTATTGATCATTAGTTAAGGGATACTTTCTTGATTATTTCCAGCTATTATAAGTTATTTAGTATTAGATGCTGAGCTACTTATTAAGTTCAGGAGAAATTATAGCCGGAATTTGAAGGGTAGATATTAGCTAACAATGAAATGTTTTTGAAATATTAATGAAATATTGATAACGAAAATCTATAATGAACAGTGGAGAAATATTTTTCAACTTTTGTCGTTTTTTATTAGCTTTTAACTTCTCTGTGTCCGAAAAGGCTTGAATCCTGCTTCCGGACAAGTCCAAGGCAGTGGAACGAACTAACAACTGAAACTGAAATTCAGTGAGCTTAATTCGCGGAAAGATAGACGGAGGGTTGGCTGGGTGTAAGGATTACCCAACTTGGAGCAAGTGGGCAGGATGAATAGTCCGAGTGATAGATGAATGGGTTAGAACGGAAGTTGATGGATGTGCGGATGGATGATCTGATAGATACCGACGTTTGAGCTATTGTAGGCTGATCGGCCACCAATGGAATAAATTATTTTTGATGACCGGGTGATTGCGCATGCTGCTGGAAGCAGCACTATTCCGACAGCGATAACGAATGTAGTTGCGGGGTTCATCTGAAGGCTCTTATCTTAGCACTTGAATCTGCCTGTACACGTATCTTATCCTAGGTCGGGGAATGAGAAGCTCTGGAAGTACAGCATTGCGTAAGTGTCTGAGTGTGCATGTGTGTATGTGTGCGTGTGTGCATAAGCCCTATGCTCATCCCCTTCTTGAAGCTTCGAATTTGATCAGCTGTTCGTAGCTAAAATGGGCTGCAAGGGAAGGAGTGCCTGCTTTAAAGCATATTCCTGATGATGGCTCGCGCCGCTTTGTCTGGATTGGTGCAAGTGCAAGGGTACTTACATGCTTCACCATGAAACAGCGGTGCTCACTGGAGAGCTGGAACGATATTGCATTTTTATTGCGGGCGTTATTATATAAGAATGCTAAGTGAAAAAACCAATATGCAAAAAAACTTGGATTTCATCACGATGACTTTTTGGTTTACATCTTGCTTTTCATAGCTTGCTCCTTTCTGAAGCCAGAACCTTGACTAAAGTAGGCCAACGGCCATGCATGAGTCAGAATTTACTGCAGTGCGAAAACTTAAGCCGACGGCCACGCATGAGTCAAAATCCACCGCAGTGCAAAAACTGTTTTCAGGTCGAAATATTTGCGTAAAAAATTCAAAATTTGCAAAATTTGAAGCGTACAGCTCATCTAAATTCGAAATTTTGAATGGAATTTTTATCAGAATCCACTGGTAGCAAAATGAATCTCAAAAAATAGTACTTTACGCTTCGAGATGCACTGTACAATCAGTCGAACATTGAACAGTTGAATTTATAGTTTCGTTAACATATTTTGGTCGACTGCAGATTGATATCCGTAACATCGATCGCCAAACTTATAGTTGGCAACTTTTCCGTTTGCTCTGACCAATGATGTACGTCACTTGGTGGTCAGCTTGCTGGTGACCCTAACACTTACTTCGTCGTATAATTTATAGATTTTAAGGGATTTGAGATTAGAAAAAAACAAACGTTAAAAAACAAAGGAAAATTTGGATTTTCCACATCCATACATCGTTGGAGACATTGATCAGTGCCTTTCACAGGTCTTAGTTGAATTATCCAGATAAATATAAACAAGCACATGCGCAGACATACACGCTCACAAGCACAATTTTGTTATGGAAAGTAGAGGTCGAGTTACAATTACGGTTTCGAATAACGAGAAAGTTTGATTTACCTTTCTCATATTTGTAATGCAAAAATTCTGAGCTGTTGCCCTTTGCATCAAAAATCAAATGTGCCAATCAGGCAGACAGATCTCGATGAAGCAGATAAAACTTTTTTT